TTTTCAGGCCTGTGCGGTCTGTCAAGGGCTGTCGAGTTTTTCAAGCGAATATGATAAGGATGACAGACTAGAAACGAGATGTCTGAACAGGACACTAGGGCTATTGCTCAACCCGATCCTGACCTGCCTGTCACAGCACCACCCACGGTTTTCAGACTAGTGAAAGTGACAGGCCCAGACAGGCCTATAACTGCTTGAATCTCTGACTTTCATTGGTCTGAAAATCATGGGTGCTGCCTATCATAGACAGGTCAGAATCGGGTTGAGCAGTAGCCTTAGTGCCCTATTTGGACATCTTGTTTCTGGTATATTATCGTTATTGTATTCGCTTGAAAAACTTGACAGGCCGCACAAGCCTTGAAAACGTGGCCTGTTTGGACCTCTGATAGCTCTTCTTTTTGTGCAGTTTTTTTATTCAGTATTAGGGAATTAATATCATTTGTGCACACACTTTAGCTTCCACTAGGCTTTCTAAATTATTAGCCTTTTCGTTTCAACCATTAAAAAGGCTTTTTCTATCTACACGAACACTAGTTCAATGTAATGCTCTTCGCCGAAAATCATTTCATTGAAGACTCGCGGGACGCTTTAGACTGTTGTGAGCCCTTTAATTTTTATCCAGGCTTGTTAAACAGAAAGTCGTCAACTCATTTCGTTCTCGCCTTCACCTTTGGAGCGCCCTCCTTAGTCAAAAAAATACTGTCGACAAAGCGTTTTTCGGCGAAGAGCATACATACTTGCTATTTGAATACAAAGTCGTTAAGCCATGCTTTCCGTCAAATGTACTCTCGTGATCTTTTACTTTCCTTGAAAAATCGTTTCTCAGAATTGATTTAGAAAAAAATGTTCGTTTTTTCGCCACATTCAGACACGTTCAATCGATCGGACCTAGTGGATAAAGAATTGTTCTATGAGCTACAATGGTATGATGTGTTCCTATGGTTAACCTTTTAGATCAACAGCTACTCACTCTTCCACACCTCTTCGGGGCATCACTCCTGGCTACCCGCTACCGCACTTAGGCCTACTTTCTCAAAAGATCATCCTTGTTAATTTGCAATTTAGTCGAGTCAGGTTTCGATCATGGCGAAAAGTATTTCCATTTTAGTGCTATAGAATTTTCTATAGAACGTTCCAAATAAAAGATTTTTTAGTGAAGCACTCTTTATGTCTTGAATTTCTTCGTCCTTCTATAGAAGCTATTAGTGCACTCCGTGTGAGATTAACATGTGAAACATCAAGTAGCTGTTGTTGCTAATTCAAGGGAGATTTTTGATTCTATGAATCCTTGGGCACGTCTCTTCATTATCTTAAACATAATTCTTGAGTAATGTGAAAAGGAAGCAGTGCATATTTTGTAACGAGCTGCTATTGATGTACGATGAAAGACCGCATATCATTAATGTCTGTCATGATCTGTCAAGCGAAGAGAAAATGTCGAAAATTTCTACTCTGCGTACTTCATCACTCCTTTCGGATTGTTTTTTTCACAAAAGCGGCATAATCCCATACAAGAAAGTTTATATAAAAGTGAAAAAAACTTCGACTTTCTAATGACCGAAATCCTTCACTTTTAATGAATTATAATAAAGAAAAATTATGAAACATATCGATATTTATCCATTATTCTGATAATTTTTCACAACTGTGCATTGAACAACTGTTTTCAACGGCTGGTCCCTGTCACACGCCGAGAAACTTTGGATAAAAACATTAATCTTGCTTTTCACGTTCTAGTCAATACAGGTTTAGATTATTCTAGAAAAATTTTTAGTCTATATCATAAGAGATGTCAACAGATGATTCAAAATAAATGATTTCGCTGTGAAGCCTTTCTTGTGTCTTGTTCTTTTTACTTTTTCTGTGAAACTCGCGCTAAATTGGAATTTTTCCTACAAAAAGTCATAGAAAACGATTCAGCAAAAACATGATAGGTTCTATAGAGATCGTTTCAAAACCAATTGTGCAGTGAACCACTGTTATCAACAACTACTCGTTCGTCGACGCTCCTCCGGGGCGCCATTCACAGCTAGCGACTGTCACGCTTGTGAATACCTCGGACAAAACATCGATCTCGCTTTTCGCACTGTAGTCAATTCCGCTTTTGATTATTCTACAATACTCTAACTTTTAGTTTTTTTCATAAAGCCCCCTCTAAATTGGAACGTTTTCTTCGAAGTATCATAGAAGACGGTTTTGAAATAAAGCGTGTTAGGTTTTGCATGGATCTTTCTAGCGGCACATAAGTAGAGAAGCTCCTGATACCAGGGCTACGCGTTTGTCTTTCATCATCGGCTCGCAAAGAGTACCAGTCATGATTAGTACCTTCCATGCTGAAGTGTAGTTTCCAAGATAGACATCTTCCTTGATAAAATCTACGGAAATAATGTGTTTGCATCATCCACAAAATCGTCTGATTATCAATAATGTTATTTTCCAGCCAAATTGGAAACGCAACAGATGTTAGGAGAAAACTTACAAATAAAATATTTTTTCTCTCAATGCTACCAAAACGCAAGTTTCCATAAGCAACTGATTTGTCAGTCTCGAGGTAAAAAATCGACACCTAAGAGTCAAACAAGATAAACTTACCTGATGAAGTGAATAAAGAATGAAAAACCTAATTCGACAAATGTTAGATACCAAAATCTCTGATTCGCTAAAATCTCTCGCGTAGCAAACTGATCAGACGAACTGACACATAAAACAGTTCATAGAATGTTATTTTCGAAATAGAAAAAGCACTGAACGAACTCCATGAGCGTCAATATCAGCCTTCCGAGAAAACCAAGCAGAAACGTATTTGCAAGAGACAAAGACAAAACAGCATCTAGTAGCCTACATCACAGTACCGAAAAGGCGTTCTTGTTGGTGGCAAAATGAACAAAAACATTTTGTCCGACCACATTACCATAAACCTCTCTACACGATCGCTAAATACCAAGAACATCTCGTCCACTGAAACTCCGATACAAAAGAATCAAGAGACGACAGTGAGATCCTCGAAGTATCTGATTGGCTAAAGTCAAATCTTCAAAGCCTAATTCAACGAGAGTTAGAGCTGAAAAACATCTAATTGACTGAAATTCGAATCCTCGAAATCCCATTGGACGAGAGATAGACCTCAAAAACATCTCATTGGCTGGAAGCCCAATCCTAAAAATCTCATTGGAGGAAAAGTAGACCTCGAAAACATTTTATTAGCTGAAATCCCAACTCCAGAAACCCCATTGGACAAGAGTCAGGCCTCGGAAATATTTCACTGGCAGGAATTCCACTCCTCGAAAATTTGCTCCTCAAAACTCATTTTCTACAAATCCAAACCCAAAAACGCACGATAAGTTCATCCACATCTTCAAAATCTCATTTTCTCACACCGCAGCTTCAAAACACAAGACTGACTCGAGTACCACTCCGCGAAATTTTCTTCGCCACTAACCCGCTCCGAAAGATGCCAGATTTCGCCAATTTCCTCGCGTCACAATATACTTCGTTGATGGCCCGTATGAAAAAAAAAACCGTGATGGGCTCAATTTCGGTTCTGCGAAATCTCATTGGCTAAGACCCCACCTCGAAAATTCTCGGATTGGGCCGATTTCGGTGCCACAAAATCACATCGATTGTTGGCCCATATCCAAAAAACTCTCATTGGCTGAACTTCGGTTGCGCGGAATCTCATTCGCTGATGGGTCATACCCACAAACACCCGATTTGCTCAGCTTCCCTTGCGCAAAATCTCATTGGCTGATCGCCTATATCGAAAAACTCTTCATTGGCTGTCTTTCGGCTCCGCGAAACCCAATTAAGTAACCACCTATATCGGAAAACCCTTGATTAGCTGGAGTTCCGCAGCACGACATCTCCTTGCTTAATCGCCCATACAGCACAACCTCTGATGCCTCGATTTCGGCTTCGCGAAATCTCATTGGCTAAGAGTTCATATCGGAAAACCCCTGGTTGGCCCGATTTTGTCTCCCCGAAATCCCATTGGCTAAGAGCCCATATGGAAAACCTCTGATTGGCTCGATTTCTGCTTCGCCAAATGCCATTGGCTAAGAGCCCATATCGGAAAATCTCTAGTTGGCTCGGTTTTGCCTCTGCGAAATCCCATTGGCTAAGAGCCCATATCAGAAAAACGTCTGATTGGTTGGATTTGCTCTGCGCCCAATCCGATTGATTGATAGCCCATCTCGGAAAACCCCTGTTGACACTGGGAGTCAATTATTGTCTACATTTTCACAAATAACTCTGCTTAAGGTTAAAAAAATATTTTTCTGTTATGTGCGAACGAACGAACGAAGCTACGAACGAAGTTACGAACGTACGAACCCAACTCGGTGTATGAGCCTCCTTTCAGTAGAGGGAATTATGCGAAATTATGGCATTCGTTTGATGTTTGGCAATTCAAAGCGTTCTAAAATGATAATATTGCAAAAAGTATTGTTAATTATTCAATGCATATCAACATACATCTGATAAATCATCGACATTATTTTGTCTAGTTAGAGTTGCAATCCGAATCAGTTCTTCAAGATAAACACAGACGTCGAAGCTATGCAGTACGCTTATTGCATATAGCTATCTACCAACGACAAAATTAACCGTACACTTGGTTTTTTATCTAAAATATAAAGTTTGTAGTTAGAAGAAATCTTCTTGGATATATATGAATAGTACAAGTATAGATCAGTGTTGGGCAACTCCGGGTATGTACCGCTTCAACTCCAGGTAACTCCACTCCGATTTTAAAAAATACCACTCCAACTCCATGCAACTCAACTCCTATTTTCAAAAATTCCGCTCTAACTCCAACTCCAACTCTTGATTAGTTTTTTAACTCCGCTCCAACTCCAACTCCACCTTGTTAACATGCATCTCCAACTCCGATTTAACTCCAATTCAACTCTGATTCTACTAAGTCAAACTCATTTGAATACAAGTTTAAAAAGACTATTTTTTCAATATAAATCTATTAATAATATCAATGAATTGCAGGATTATTATTGTTTTATAGAATTTGTATTGTAAACTTGAAATATCAGTTTTTCAGTAATTGATAATGGTAAATCTAATCCAATGATAAAGTCATTAAGAGCCATTCGAGTTAATTCCACTGGACGAGGATGAGTTGGTCCATAGTTTGATGTATGAGAAGGTGAAGATAAACTATCTTCTAAAGAAATTTGTTTCGTCTTGTTCAAGTTTTTTTCTTTATCTGATGCATTTTTTGACCACAAATCATATTCAGCTTTATGTTTACGTTGTAAATGACGACAATAATTTGACGTAGAATTTTTCACATGCCAAACAATTTCTTTGCATAAAATACATGCAGCAGATGTTTTATCTTTCAGATCACCTGTAATATACTCTTTAAAATCTTCATAATATTGTTCAAGATCATGACGACCAATTTTTGTCTTCACTGTGTAAGACATCTTGTCATCATTGGAAGAACTTGTTTGCGCATCAGATGTTGGAAGTGTCAGGTCAATTGTTGATACATCAGATGATGAATCCATTTGCATTCAGATTGTTCACAAGTAATGAAAAATTAGAGATATGTGTATTCGATGCACCGAATTATTTAACAAATAATATTTAATCACGCCACCAATGACTTTCTAAATTCTCTCTATATCTCTCTATTTTTCTCTCTCTCGATGTAATGATTCAAGGTCATTCATTCCTAGTTTTCTTAATTGCATCATAGATACCATACGTATGCACGTGTTTTTACTGTCGACTTTTTTTCCGTTCTCTTCTGGCGAGTCTTAAAATCAACAGGAGTTAAATTGGAGTTCCCAGGTCGATGATTCCAGTCAACGGATCCCACCGGAACCTGCAGGAACCGGCGCATTTTCCGGCTAATTCCCGCCGGTTCCGGTGCAATTCCTACCGGAACCGACCGGAAAAATACTGGAAAGGGGGGCAGTATTCCGGCCGGAAAGTCACCGCACCAGGAACCGGTCAATTACAAAACTTTTCCGTGCACCGGAAAACGCCGGAAAATCCATCGTATCCATCACGGAATACACCGGAAACACACCGTATCCATCACGGAACACACCGGAAACACACCGTACCCATCACGGAACACACCGGACACACCGTATCCATCACGGGATACACCGGAGACATACCGTATCCATCACGGAACACACTGGGCACGCCATATCCATTACGGAATCCACCGGAAACATACCATATCCATCACGGAACACACCGTATCCATCACGGAATACACCGGAAACATACCGTATCCACCATGTAAGGGAGACCATGCCTCAAAAGGAGTCATCCAGACAAAGGAAAACTGTACTCCGAGGACATCAAACTTTCTTTTTTTTCAGAATGAACCCTAGCACATGGTGCACCCGTATTTACAGGGGACACCATGTCTCCAAAGGAGTAATCGAGCGGTAGGGAAATCCTCCTCCGAGGACTTCGAAATTTCCTTTCTATTTCCTAATGAACACTAGCACCTCGTCCGCCCGTATTTATAGCGGATATCATGATCCAAAGACAGTCATACAGAGGTAGGAAAATCGTCCTTTGAGGACTTCGAACTTTGTTTTTTTCAGAGTGAACCCTAACATCTCGTGCACCCTTATTTACAGTGGAGACCATGTTTGAAACAGAGTCCTCGAGAGGTAGGAAAATCGTCCTTCGAGGACTTCGAACTTTGTTTTTTTTCAGAGTCAACCTGAACACATGGTGCACGCTTATTTGCAGTGGAGACCATGTCTGAAACAGAGTCCTTGAGAGGTAGGAAAATCGTCCTTCGAGGACTTCGAACTTTGTTTTTTCAGAGTGAAACCTAACACCCAGTGCACGCTTATTTATAGTGCGGAAGATGTCTCAAACAAAGTCCTCGAGAGGTAGGAAAATCGTCCTCCGACGACTTCGAACTTTATTTTTTTCAGAGTGAACCCTAACACCAGGTGCGCGCTTATTTTTAGTGGGGACGATGTCTGAAACAGAGTCCTCGAGAGGTAGGAAAATCGTCCTTCGAGGACTTCAAACTTTGTTTTTTCAGAGTGAAACCTAACACCTAGTGCACGCTTATTTATAGTGGGACGATGTCTGAAACAAAGTCTTCGAGAGGTAGGAAAATCGTCCTCCGAGGACTTCGAGCTCTGTTTTTTTCACAGTGAACCCTAACACCTAGTGCACGCTTATTTATACTGGAGACCATGTTTGAAACAGAGTCCTCGAGAGGTAGGAAAATCGTCCTTCGAGGACTTCGAACTTTGTTCTTTTTCAGAGTGAAACCTAACACCCGGTGCAGGCTTATTTGTAGTGGAGACCATGTCTGAAAGAGAGTCCTCGAGAGGTAGGAAAGTCGTCCTCCGAGAAGTTCGAACTTTGTTATTTTTTCAGAGTGAACCTTAGTCCCTGGTGCAGCCCTATTTGTAGTGGAAACGATGTCTGAAACAGAGTCCTCGAGAGGTAGGAAAATCGTCCTTCGAAAACTTCGAACTTTGTTTTTTTCACAGTGAACCCTAACACCTCGTGTATTCTTATTTATAGTGGAGCCCATGTTCAAAACAGAGTCCTCGAGAGGTAGGATAATCGCCCTCGGAGGACTTCGAACTTTTTTTTTTTCACAGTGAACCCTAACACCTAGTGCACGCTTATTTATAGTGGGGACGATGTCTCAAACAAAGTCCTCGAGAGGTAGGAAAATCGTCCTCCGAGGACTTCGAACTTTGTTTTTTTCAGAGTGAACCCAAACACCTAGTGCACGCTTATTTATAGTGGGGACGACGTCTCAAACAAAGTCCTCGAGAGGTAGGAAAATCGTCCTCCGAGGACTTCAAACTTTGTTTTTTTCAGAGTGAACCCTAACACCTAGTGCACGCTTATTTATAGTGGGGACGATGTCTCAAACAAAGTCTTCGAGAGGTAGGAAAATCGTCCTCCGACGACTTCAAACTTTGTTTTTTTCAGAGTGAACCCTAACACCAGGTGCGCGCTTATTTTTAGTGGGGACGATGTCTGAGATAGAGTCCTCGAGAGGTAGGAAAATCGTCCTTCGAGGACTTCGAACTT